GCTATAACGTAGCAGCGGCGATAAACACGGAGAAAGAGAATGAGAAGAAAAGTGAGTGAGTAGCGAAGGAAAGAGACAGGAGAGAAAGAGAGCAAAGGTAGAAGGAAGACGAAACAGACGAGAGAGGAGAGAGAGATATTAGGCAATAATGAGGAAAAAAAGCGCTAAAAAGATAGAAAGACAGGAAGAAAAAAAGAACAACAGGAGGAGGAAACAGAGAGAAGAGATAACAAGAGATGAAGAAGCAAGGAGGAAGAGATAATAGTGAGAGCAAACAAGGAGCAAGGGAAAGAAGCAAACAAATACGTTAGTAGAACGACAAGAAACAATGAGAGTAGAAAGCAAGAGAGACAAAAAACACAAAATGGATTATAAAAAAGAGAAGCTAGAAAAAATAATAAGACAATAAGGAAAGAAGATAGGAAAGCAGAGAAGTAACAAGCAGGAAATAGCACAAAAAAAGCAGGAAGAGATGAATCCTGGAAACAAGAAAAGTAAATGAGCAGAGAAAAAGAACAAAAGGAAGATAGCAGTATCGAATAGAGAATTAAGAACAAAGACTGAGAAAGGAAAGAGAGAGGAATAGAGAAAAGAAATAAGGAATATAAGCAAAGAAGGAGAAAGACAGGAGGAAAGAAGTACACAAAAGAAAGAGAAAGGAAGAGAAAAAAAGAAAGGAGGCATGAGAGGGAACAAAAAGAATGCACACAGAATAAGAGAGCAATGAACAATAAGATAACAAGAGATATGATGGCGCGACAAATAAATGAGAAAGGAAAAAAAGGAAACTAGTAGAAAACAAAAGAGAGAGAGAGAAGAAACAAAGGAGAGATAACACAAACAAATGAAAGTAGGAAGAGAAAAGGAGTAATAAATAGGAGAAGAAAAGGGACAATAGCAAATAAATGTTGAATATAGGAAATAGACAGGAACCAGAATAAGAAAAATGAAAAGTAATAAAAAAGAGAGAGGTAAAAAGAAATCAACAATACAGAAATAAGAAGTAATACTGAGCACACAAATACAGTAACAATAATGAGAATGTAGCAAAAAGAGAGCGACAAGAGAGCGGTAAAGAGGGAAAAAACAAACGAAAGAAAGACACGGAATAAGCAAGAAATAAATAAAAGGACAATAGATATAGAAAGAAACAGGACAATAAGAAGAAAAAGCAAGAAAAGAAGAGAGAGACAAAAAAGGGAAAAGTAAAAGAAAGAAGGGACAAGCAAAGTACAAGAGAAAAAAAGGCAAAGGAGCTACAGGAACGACAAGAACGCAAGATACAGTATACAAACGACAGGAGGAGCAAAAAAGAGGAAAGGAAAAGAAAAACAACAGAGTAAGCGAAGGAAAAGATAAGTAAGATGACAGGAATCAAAAGGCAGTAAGCAGCAAAGACAGTAAGCACACAGGCACAAGAAAGAGAAAGAAAAGGAGAAAAAACAAAGAGAATGAAAAGAAAAGACAAACAAGCGAGATAAGATAGGAAAGCAAAAAAG